GCAAGGCTCTTCGCCAAAGAGCTCACGGTCGTCAAAACCTCACGCTGCTCCTCGCGATTCAGGCGGCCATCCGACGCAGCCTGAGACGCCAAGAAACGGTGAAAGTGAGCGCGCACAAAACTGAACGTGCCAAGTGCAAAAGAACAAAGTACACATCTGAACGCAAAGCCAGGCAACAGCGTTCCTGACCTCTCGCAGCTGCTGATGTGTCTCCTTGCATGCTCCACCAACTGCCAAAGGCCCCACCAAACTCCCCAAAATGTTGCACAAAGTGGAAACTTGCAACACACAACAACACACAGGAGCCACAACAAAAAGGAAAACCAAACGTGACTCAACACCATACCAAGATGCCTTGGTCCTGACTTGCAATCCACCTCTGGTGCGGGATCTCTCGCGGGTGGACGAAGATGAGCGATATGCCGGAACATCCGCCACCCACATCTCTTTTCCATCGATCTTTGCCCTGCCGTTCCCAGGTATTGTTCCTCCAGTCGGTTCTATGTGTGACAGCTCATGGACAATTGAAATAAATTTGACCGTTCCCCCAAATACTGCTCCTCCAACCGGTTCTATGTGCAACAGCTCATGGACAACCAATTCAACATACATGAAACAAATGCGACGAAGAGATCTCCTTTTTTCCCTGGTGCCAGATGACGCCTCGCCACTCCTCAGAGGGCAGATCATCATCTGCGTCCTGCATGGTTGCAAAAGTGAAAGTGTTGTTTCAATCCCTTCAATTGTATATATATATAATATGTATTGATTTCAAAATATTTCAGACTATGGAGTGGAAACTTTCAACATGGCTTGCGCAACAATGGAATGCATGGCTATGCCAGCAACATAGGACTGTCCTCGATCAGAGGCTCCCAAGGGCCACCAGACGGACCAGGCGGAGGTGGAGGGAACGGAGGCTCCTGCGGCTGGCGGCGAGGAGGAGGAGGCACCGGCTGCGGGCGCATCTTCGGTGCGGGCGGTGGCTTCGGCAAATTGCGTGGCCATTTTGTCCAAGCCTTGATTGACAAGCAAGTTCGAGTACGAAGATATAATGCCTTTGTATACGAAGTTTAAAGCAAAAAGTAACAGCACACATATGTGTATATATATGTTATATTGATATATTGTATATATATATATGAATAATAGGTCGCCTTCTATAGTTGAACTATCACACAATGTTTTTGGTAGTTGGAAGGCCCATGGTATGTATGAAGTACATGCATTTGTACAAACATAAGACACGTTAAGGCTTCAAGTATAGTTTAAGTTTAAGCAACTATGCAACAAAGTCCAAACGTTTCAAAACAAATAAAACCATGATAATGAATGTATAGTGCAAGGATCCGAGCCTTGCCACGTGTCATGCTTCGGAGGCTCCTGAGGAAGCTCCTTGGGGATGTCCATGCTCTTCTGAGGCTTTGCATATCTATGATGCGGAATGTAGTTCCCCCTCTTGTCTCTGCTCCATGAGACAAACAGCTCAGGCTCATCTTCAGCCACTTCGGCCTTCTCCTCGTTCCCCACGTCGTCGACATCATCGTCCTCATATCGTGCATCCTTGCGCTCAACCTGCTCCTCCTGCGCCAAACCATCACCCGGCTCCTCCTCCGCCTCCTCCGCATAGCGCCCCCCTGTCACCTCCGGCGCCTCCTCCTCTGCATCTGGCTCATCCAACGCTTCCTCCTCGTGCTCCTCGTCGGCAATGTCCCTGTCACCCTCCTATCTGCAAGCAAATGATTGGCCCAAACAAACAGCATATACAATTGCGAGGTCTGACAAACAAATTACAACCAAAGGTGCAAGAGGCCCCAAGACTGCTCAAGCAGTGTCTGCCGAGATTCCATCTTCACGGACCACTGCCCCCACGTCTCGTCGTCCTCCTCGCACCAAACGCCGCGCCAACAAGCTTTGCGCCGCCACGGATGCCAGCCGCTCATCCAACGCAGCGCCGGAAAAATGCAAAGGTTAAAAAAAGAAACTGCGTACTGTGTGTGTGAGTTTGTATGATGCTCTTGTCATCATGATATGTTGCACGAGGTCGTATGTTGCTATCTTGATATGTTGCACGATATCCTGAGATGGCTCTGCAGCTCTGCATGCTTGCGCATGGATATGTATATACTATGTATGGTCACTCATGGGTAAACAAGGCTTCGCATGGTTCGCATGGTTATGCATGCAAATAATGTATACATAGAAAACCGTATAACGCAAAGTTAATCAGGCCTCAGCCTCCAGCCGGGCCACAACAAGCAATGAATCCCCCCAAAGGGGGAAACAAAACAACTCTGTGTAATGGCAACTAGTGTGTGTTTGTGGGGTGTGGCATGTAAAACATAAACACATGTCAAAACCCATCCGAGCCATCCGTCTGCAGACCACATGACAAACATATATTCAAGGTTCACGCTGCGTTCACGTTCCCTCAACACGAACAATGAGTTAATGATTATAGAGTCGCATAAAATGGGTCTGGTGTTGAGCAGTTGTTGAGAGTTTGTCAAAGTCCAAGTCACTGCACCAATGCTTGTCGCCATGCCACAAGACCCGCAACAACAAGTGTCCCATTCACCATCCTCGCCTCCGTCGTCTCATTCCGCAGGCAGCATGCCCCAACGGGATGTTGCATCCTGCATAACCGATTGTAGTGAGCAACTACAAAGCTTTAGAAGAGGTTGAGAGGCTCTATACATGTCACAACAGGTTGACAAGTGCCTCAACTTGATCCACCTCGCAACTCACATGGTGAACATCAATGCGCAGCAAAGAAAACAGCAACCGGTGGAGCATAATGTGAGAACCCATGCCACGCCAGCAAACACTGACCATATATTCACACAAACAACAAATTCCCATCCGTGCCTCCTCATTCAAGGGCTCCACAAGGGCACTCTGCAAAGTTTCTGCGTCCTCTATCATATATGGGTAAAAGTCTGACATCTGACATGGACGGGTCCTATCTCGACAACCAACATTAATTGGCAACAATGTCGGCAAGCAACAAACCAATGCCACAATGCAATGTCACAATGCACGACCTGAACTGTGCCCCATCATACTTTATAGTTAACCAAAGGGTAGAAACACAAAAACTCAGGACAGCGAAAGGCATGTTTCACGCACAGCGTCGATGTCGAAGCGCAAAAGCTCAGGACAGTGTGAGACGAAAGTTGCACAAACGCAAATCCTACTATAGTTTTCAATCTTCACACTCTAGATGGACATCGGCAGCTGCAGTTGCTTCGTCAGACATGCGTCTCTTCAGGCGCCGTTTCCGTTTTGGAGAACCCTTGACAGGCTTCTTCTTTTTCTCAGCCGGTGGAGAACATGCCAGAGAGGCCAATACATGCGCCAAGTTGCTATTGGTGAGTTCGATGTGGAGGTCCCGTGATTTGATCTTCCAAAGCACGCGGCACGTGTGCGCCGCTCTCCCATCAACTGGCGGCAGCGTGATCTCCACACTCTTGGACACCAGAAACCTGTCCTCATCCCGCGCCGCACGGAGACGGGGTGGCTTTTCCCCATCCGCCACGCTTTTCAGCAACATCTCGTGCAATGCACGGTTGCGCGCATCAATGCCTCAATCGTGCGCCAATCAATGCTGAACCACGGTTAAACCGTAGGGAGCTATAGGGCGCAAACAACCAGCGCACATCTAAGCTGTGTGCAACAACCCATCCAAAACATTATGAACCAACATGATGATGATGATGATGAGGTGCAACAACCTGCTCGATGGTCAACTAACATGACAACATCTTACCAATCTCAACAGAGACATTCTATTGGTTGTATATACCGAGTTCAACATATAAACGCACTGAACTTGTATCCGCAAAATCGTAGACATTCAAAACATCTGAGCAATAACTGTCACCAGGCCAAAGCTACGAAGTTCGGCGACCTCATCCCACCACGCAACTGATAAGTTTTGCGCCACTTTGTGTTTGTGCCTATTCATGCCCTTGCCGTGGATCATCCGGCACAAACTACTGTCCCATTTGCTCAAGCTGCAATACGTCAGTCCATCGACGATCTGGGTCTCAGGGTACCATCGAGCTCGACCTTCCAAGTGCACGCAATGCACTAAATGTATGGCTATTTGGTCGAAGTCTACCGCAAAGTCTTCCTCAGCATTCTCCCCTGCCACATCACCATCTGACTCCTCCTGACCCTCCATTGGAGGCGAGCTTTCAAGCCCAGCTTCCACGCTGTGTCGAGCCCTTTCAGGCCGCAAAACTTTTGAGCATGAGCGCGCAGACATGTGAGCGTGGGGCTCTGCATCAAACAACAATGCATCACATGCAATCTCTGAAGTGTTACAAGTTACCAGGCACTTCTTTTGTACAATTACAATCATCAAGCTCCTTTGAATCAGGTTCTCTGGCGAAGTGTTTGATGAACATGTCGGACACGCAAAACCAAAACCCATGGCAGGTGAACAGGGTGAACAGAGTTGCAGCGCAGCGCATCTTGTTTTCTTTACTTTCCACAAGTATGCATGGGCCAAGCTTCGAGCGCACGCCAAACCACAGTGCAAGACAGAAACCACAAGCAAGAGCTTTTTCACACAAATATATCAATAAACTGTATATTAAAGGCGTGAGGGGTCAAATCAAAACAATGCCTCTTTCTTCACTCGTTTACATTTGGCCTTGTCAAACAACAACTTGCACCGTGGGTTTAAAAGCCACGTCATGCCTTGCTCCTCTTGGCAGGTGCGCTTCGAAGTTCTTCCACATCCGCAGCCCTTTTCTTCAGGGGTGGCCAGAAGACCGTCAAGTCCTCGTCCTTCTCCACCTTGCACGTGTTGCGCAGGACAGGAAGCTGGATGGGCTTGCCCGTGTCCAAGCTCAAGCTGAGCTTCTTCAAAGAATCCATGGATGGCCACACCTGACATAGACGCAATACAGAACGCGTGTAAAGGAAGTAAGTACACATGGCCGTGTGCATGAGAGGTGCACATGTCCATGGTCTTGTTTTGCAAGTTATATTCAATCACTCTGTGACGTCATACAAACATTTGCCCTGCGCGCTTGCGCCTCAAGGTTTGCTTCCTCTTCCTCAACAACTCGGGGAACCATGTGAAAGGGATTCATGAAGCCCTCATGCAGGGAGGTCTCCTTCAGCATCTTGGTGGACATCGGAATGCACACATCATAAATATCCCATTTCCCAATGACCAAATCATTGATGTTTCCCGTTCCATGAGCGCGCAAAACGACTTTGGGGCTGGCGCAAGGCAACAGAAGCTTGCTTTGCGCCCATGTCTTTGTGGACCGAATAGCCTTCGGCGACTTCAGCACCAGAAAGCTTTCCAAGTCGTGTTTCTTTTGGTTGAGTTGCTCCCACATGGCATGGATGACCCGCGCTTTGATCATTGACATTTGCATTTCCTTCGAAGTGAGTGGTGCTTCGGTCAACCATGCGATCTCTTCCTGCGCCTTTGGTGGGGTGTAGAGCTTCCACTGCCCTTCGATGAACGATGCGGAGGACACAAGCTTTTTCTCTAGAGTCTCATCGAGCTCCAGCAAAACATCCGAATCCTGGAAAGCCACGATCTTGGCTACTACCTCGTCCTTCCTGGAGCCCATGGCATCCACCTTGAACCCCATGCCTGTCAAAATTGCGCTGACATTCGTGAGCTTTCCTGCATCGTTGTACTCTCGCGCGGGCATCATCTCTCCTTTCTTTCCCGCAGCCTTAGCCTTAGGGGTGGCTGAAGCCGTGGCGCCCGCTGAAGAAGCAGGTTTCCAACAAGCAAGCGGTGTCAAACCAGCATCCACTGCAACCCCATGAAGGCATTCCCCAACTCCTTCATACTCTCTCATCTTCTTTTTTTCAAGCACAACTGCCACAAGCTGCACCTGCAACGATCCCAAGATTTTCAAGCGCTCAGGATGGCTGCCCAGAAGGTCCTTGAACTCCGAAACCCCCTTCTCCGCAGCCGTGGCCGACTGGAGCACTGACTTGTTGGCGATTGCCTTCTTTGCCTGGAACCGACAAGTGCAAATCCATTCATGTCCTTCCACATGTAGACTAGACGAAACTATATACACCCGTGCAAATGCATGTAATGACAATTAGCCCAAGTCACGTCGCCAATGGAGAACTGTTTGTCTGCGCAGCAGTAAGCAAACTTGAGAAACATGTGGCGCCAAACGACACGCTGATCGGATCCCCTCATCTGCGTCTGCATGGCCTCCCACACTTCTGGTCCCAGCTGCTTCGATTGCCGTCCATGCGATCTCACGTACATCTCGGTTTCTTCAAGGAATGCGCCGCCGTACTTCAGGACGAAGGCGAAGATCCATGGGCAGCTCAAACTGCAAGGTGGTTTCGACCTCAAAACTTCGCTCTGAATGTCACCCCAACGCACAGTCTTCGTGCCAGAGCGCTTCAAAATGTTGGATATCTTGAGGGCCATCTGGAGCTCGTCCTCTGACTTCGCCACCTGCTGCAGGGCGTTCCCACATGCCTGCAGCAGGCCGACCAGCTTCGGGAACTCGGAAACACATGCCCTGCTGATCACCGTCCACTGCAAGCCCTTGTCCAACGCAGCCTGCATCTCCTGAGGCATTGCACGGGCGTCCCGCTGGTTGCAGCCAAACAGGATGCTCCTGAACGCCTGGTTCGTGTGACTCCCCTGGATCGAAGCGAACCGCATCTTCTCCTTGAACCCATCTGCTGGCGCCAGCTGCCCGTCAGAGGCACTGCATAGCTGGCGGTTCGCCTCTCTCGTGCGCTCAGAAGCTTCGTCGTCAGCGAGCTCTATGCACATGGCCTTCGCTTCTTCATCGCGCCAGCCCATGCGTTCAAACGTTGCAATCAGTTCACTGACGTGGGCCACATCGATCATGACACCGTCTCTGTTCTCTTCGTGAACCCCGATGGCCTGAGATCTCAAGACTTGCTTGTAAGCAAGGCCCTCCTTCATCAGGTAGTCCACGCATAAAGCCATTGACCCCACCAGCTGCCCATCTTCAGCCTTTTTGATGAAGTCCAAGATCTTCTGCTTCTGATCACTCTTCATGAAAACAAATCGGCAGTGAACCGTTTCAAGCAGTTTGTGTTGCGCCTTTGGCTTTGAGCCGTCAACTTGCAACAAAACTTTCATCAACCAGTATACTTGCAAGCCCACCTCCTTCAATCAAACAAATTTCATGTGTATGCTTCATTTTCATACATGAAGAACTGAAAAGGCTTGCGCGCAGTGACAATTGTTTGCGAGCAGCTAGTACCCAGCAAACATCAAGCAAACATCAAGTGTCCTGAAGGTTTCTCAAACTGAAGCTGCAACTATACATCTTATAGCGACCGTGCTGGCGCACTGAGCAACAAGCCGGAATCGGGCTCAAACCTGATCTCATGATCTGCCAACCTGCACAAAGGCATGTTGGCAAGCAAATGCTCCTATAGAGTCTATAGAGCATGACCACATTCAAAGCATCACAGCCGGTCCCAAACCTCCTCCCAGAATCTATTTCAATCCAAAATGCAACAGCTTGCCTCAACCGCTGACAACTAAAATTATCGCACGCAATTCAAGGCCTCTGCACGGTTAGTGGCCATAGCGCTGCAAGTTCCTGGCAACAACTGACCATGTTGATCGAACGACTTTTGAAGATAATCTTCGACAAAATGTGAAACTACGTGCAACACAGCAACTCCAAAAATACTTCTGAGAACTGAGAACTACATTATCTGCGACGCCATCTGATTTGAGAAGGCAAACTCGTTTCCAACTCCTTCTCTACACATGAATGTGGTCAAGAGCCTGGACAAATATAGACGCCTCCATATACCGTAAGATGTTCAACGACAAGGCCACACTCAAAACAAAAGTTTTTTTGACCCTCTCTCTCCAAGGAGGCTCACTTTGTCTGGGGCGCTGGCAGCAATGTTCCAAGCCAATGAAAGAAGACTCTTTGCGCCGGGTCAGTTTTGGCGGCAACCGTCTTTGTATAAACCAATCACTGCATGTTGCTCATTGTTGCCCAATGTCTACCTGAAACCTATAAGCTGCCGATGTATACATTTGGCTTGCATCAATTCATTCGGCCCTTTCAACGCACGCGAGACTGAGCCCCAACGTGCCTCATGCGCAAACACATTATTGGTCTAGAACAAAGAAAACCCAAACATACACGTTCACAATCTGAGCGTTTCAAAACAACAAAGGACGCGTGCGTTTATGCACAACGTTGGGACCCACAATCCTGCCACAGGCTCACAAAGAAAATTCGTCATGGCCACGTTGGTCAGTGAAACAAATCCAGGTCTACACGTGTATGTTGCAATATATCAAGTTAGTTTGCGCCAACGTACTCTTTGCCATCCGTGCTCTCCAGCAAACAAACCCTGCAGCCAAGTCTACAAACGCAACCGTTTTGGCAGGCTGTTTCCATTGTAGTAAAAAACAAAAAATATACTTGGGTCGCCGGTTGGGCTTCTAAGTGCTTGCGCTAACTGACGAGCTTGTGCATGTGCGTCATCTATACTTACAGGTCAGCCATCTATACTTATATGCATAACAACCACAGTAACTATGCGAGTGGCTATGACAAACACTTCTAACTGCTTAGGATGTTCAACAACCACTTGTTGAACTTGCGTCGGAGTTATGTTCAAGTTGCGCTAAGTGCAACATGTGCCTTGCAGCAGTTGGCAAGTACAACCTAACACCGCCGGTTCAAGTTATCAAGTTGCCATGTTAGACTTGTGTAAGTGGCGCGGGGGAGGTTGCGTAAGTCCAACGTTGGACTTAGCAAGTGTCACCCTTTGGACTTAGCAAGTGTCACCCGTTGGACTTAGGAAGTTGAAAAAGTTGAGTTTTGCTGATAAGCATATAGTAAAAATATAGGATTTGTTTTTTTCTGTCACGAAGTCCATATATGATGGCCATCTTCGCGCCGGCCCTGTCCACGACATCAAAACACATAGCGCAGCTGCGAAAACGTGCAGCTGCAATCAAAACATTTGGAGTGACGGAAATACAGTGACTGAAAGCGATTCAAATTTTGTATACAAGACAAAGCCACAACCATCAAACTTTACCTTTTATCTCTGAAAAACCTTGCCCTCAAAAGTTTGCGTCGCCGATGCCCGCAAAAACCGCGACCAAACTTGCGCCATCCAGATCTTGTTTTCAATACTGCTGAAGAAAGGATGGATCAAATTTTTTCTTTCCATGCGCTCAATATGTCACGCAAACTTGCTAAATAGGCCAGGGCAGACTTGCTAAGCAGGCCTGGGCAGACTTGCTAAGTGGGCCGGGGCAGACTTGCTAAGTAGCCTGGGGCAGACTTGCTAAGTAGGCCGGGGGAGACTTGCTAAGTAGGCTGGGGCAGACTTGCTAAGTAGACCGGGGGGAACTTGCTAAATACGCCGCTTAACTTTCTCAACTGTGCCGAAGGTACAGTTATATCTGCAGTTGGCGAATGTAGCTAACAGAGCCATCTAACATCATAAGATGTCCAACTCAAATGGTTGACTTATGTATGTAAGCCTGTATCTGGCCCTGACTTGGGCCAACTAGTTGTCATACTTAGTATCTAAACATAATAGTCCTGAGACAATTAGCAACTTGTCCATGTCATCTGGCACAATCAGCCAAGTTATAACTGAAGTTGAAGGATTTATAACTGCAGTTGCCTCAGATGACATCTGTGCCAACGAAGACAACTGCATACGAACAAGGCCGACCCTCCAAGTGGGGAAGTGCACTTTGTCCAGCTCAACGTGATGCTAGCTCATAGGCAACTTCCGCTGCGTCTGGCTGTTGCTGGCTTCCCACGTACTCCGTTGGATGATGGTACATGCCCTCGTATATCGGAGATGCAGTTAGTTGCAGTGCCAGCTGAGATGCGCCGATCCTCCCTTGCGCTTACTAGTGGGCAGGTTCTCTTTCCCTTTGAAGATTCGCCACACATTACACACCGTCCTGTGGATGATTGCACGAATCAACGAGTACTGGATAGGTTATGACATCCCACCCCTACCCTCAGTATTTCAGATCAATTGTGGTGGTCTTGGGGGCGGAGCCCTTGAAGGGGATGTCCCCCCGCACTTCCATTGCATGTGTCCGCCGGTGGGAGAAAGTCAAGTCTACGGGCCGTCACTCTCCCCCGCAGATGTCACTAAAGAGCAAGGGTATGGTGTTGCCTATGGCTGTTCAACAGGGGTACACGAAGTCGCCACTCTCTTCTCGCTCACGCAGAACCCTTGCCAAAAATGGGAAGACCTCGGGTATGGCAAAGCAGCCCTCTTGTACCAACGTACGCAACATGGCTGCTCCCAGCTCACCGACGGCTGCCACACCAGGCCTTCCTCAGTGGTCTTTGGTGGAAACTACTTTCGCTACAGCCACTTCGACTTATTGCCTACTTGCCAGTGCTTGGGTGTCTTCGGCCGGCTGAGCAGGACGACCTGACCCACTTTACGGTGAAAGGCTTCAGTGCAGGCAGCTACACTGGAGCAGTGATTGCCTTAGCAATTCGTTGCCTCTGGCCAGCCAGTCAGATCACAGCGCGCCTAGGCGCCATTGCAATGCCGAAGAGTGTATTAGCGGCACTCGTTGCCACTGCAGAGCCTGACAGGCGCAACTACTATCTTGTCCATGCTGCCGAAGATTGCTTGTGTGACTGGAAGCCGACAGCTGACGATCTTGACATGTTGCAACGATCCCTGCGCGTCACGTATGTAGAAGACTCTGCACGGTGGATGGGTAAGCACAAACACTGTTACTGGCACTGGCTACAGCGCCAGCTCCCTGCAGGCAAGGTCAGTCTGGCTACTCTGAAGCTCACACACCCCGCTGTTGTTCCTCGCCGTGATCGAATCGCTGCCCCCATGCGGTTGGCCTCCTGGATTCGCTTTGAAACTGCAATGACAAGCGACGATTGGGAAGGAGCTATCAGCTTGTTGGTGTCCAACCTCCACCGACCTGACAAAGAATTGCTTATGCTGCTGCAAAGCTGTGTGGCAGGACAGCAAATTGCCTCCATGGAAGAAGCGCAGGCTTTGTTGCTGAAAAACTTTAGGGTCGGCAAAGGCAATCCAAGTGCGTGTGCCCAATGGCTGACGGAGATGGCACGAGACCTGTTAGCACCGATCCCGTTCCGGGAAGTGTTTGTCATCCTAGCCCTATTTCTTCCGCAACTTACCTTTGTCGAAGAAGCAACCACAAGACAGGAATTATGGAGTAGTCCCACTGTCAGAAAGTTTGGCCTCCTCGTGGATATCACACCCACAGCAACCGGGTTGCAGGGCATGCGTGAATATCGCATTACCTTTCCCTCGTGGTCACAAATGGCTATCTTTTGCCCAGCGCACTTCCAGAGTTGTAATCTTGACCAGCTAGCGAGCAGCCCCTCCAGTACGGTCCATATGGGCTCGCAGGCTGGGAAGGCTTATCGATTGGTTCTGCAGGAGCGCGACACGTGCTATTCGGTCCTAGCACTCCTGCTCGCCTTTGTGACTCCCTCACGAAAACGAAAAGGAGAGGAATCGCCAAGTGAGAAGCTCCGGCGATTGAGCAGCCCTCGTCACTGGGACGTTGCCTTAGTACCGTTCCCGGCAGATTTTGCGCCGCTGCCCACGCCACCGAAACCGGTCTAGCGTGCCCAGCACAATGGGCCTTCCCACCTAGCCTATGTGTGCTAGAACCTAGAGCAAATAAGTTCCGGGTGTTGGCAATTGCGGAGGCGGGAGACACTGTCACTGCGGACCACCTGCTGCAAATGGCCAGCCTAGCAGCAGAACACAAACCCACTGTGTTGGGAATCCCTGGCCAAGTGCCCATTCCGTATCAGCTTGAATGTACAGTAGTCCTGCTGCAGAGCTTGCATGCCCTTTTCCAGTTGCTGACTACGGGTAGTACACTACAGCACTGTCCTCAAGCGGCTGGTTTTGCCGTTGCGCTGGGCACAGCCGCCCGGCATGAAAATGGACACATTGTCTCGATGGCCTCCAGCCTAGCGCTGGCTCTCCGATCTGGCAGATCTACCCTGGCAGTAGCAGGTGTCTTTGGTG